AGAATCTATGACAATGCAAGAGCCAGTAACTAGATGTTGAGCCCTTGAAATATGCCTAGCCTAAACTGAGACATAATTAGGTGTAAGATACACACCCAATTTCAATTAGTATGAAAAAAAGTAAAATTTGTGTGAAAAAAATAAAATAACTAATAATTTTTATGATTGCATACTACATAATATTTTAGATATAGAGTAAAATATATAATTAAACTTAATTTTACCTTTTCTTTTCATTTAAAAAAAAACAAAACATGGCTACAAAGAAAAAGTACATATGTGGCTTGCATTCTATTTCTGTTGGACAAATGTGAATGCGGCCCTCTTAGAAGTGCTCTTTGTCAGTGCACAACCTGCACAACTGCACAGAGGTCCTGGTCCCAGAGCTCCAACTCCTCTGTTATATACTGAAGATACCTGTGGCTGCACCTGTACAAATTCCTTTTTCCTGGCTCTCCATGTGGGCCAGAAGGAGCTCAGTATTTATAGATGGGGGTAGAGGTAGCAGGCCTGGCAGCCATGGTGGCCTACCCTCCAGGTCGTCAATAGCACCAGCGTCCACAATGTCATCATCGTCTTCCTCCTCTGGTGCCTCTTCGTCCTGGGTCTTGGTGGAGGTGCCCCACTTCCGTGGACGTCCCTTCTTACTAGTTGCTGCTGCTGCTGAGGGGGCAGTAAAACAAGCTTCTATGTCTGGCTCTTGGCACCCCACCCTGACCTATGCAGTCTCAGCCAGGCAGGCAGCTATCAATGCACCTGGGCGGAAGTGTCTCTCCCGCATGTGGCGCAATAGTGTGGCCTTCGTGCTGCTCCGGTACTGACACATCTTGCACTTGAATTGCTGCACTACCACCACCTCCATCATGGCCTCCAGGCTCTGTAGGTCGGGCTCTTCAGTGCCAGAAGCTGGGGGAGGCTGTGCTGGGGAGCTGGGCCCACCCTGGGCTTCCTCAGGAGGCTCCAGGCACGTGGATGTGGATGTGGGGCCATCAGCCAGGGCCTCGATGGCTGCCAGACTGTGGGCCAGGGTGGAACTGGACATTGGTGATGCCATGGGGGCACCTGGGGGTGGATGAGGGAATCAGAGGGAAGAAGAGTAGAAGAGGAGGTTGGGCACGAGCTACAGCTGTCCTTCTGAGGCAGGCCCAGGGATCCTGGAACCCAACTCCCTACCAGAGTAACAGTGGGGAAACCGAGGCCCAGAGTAGTGGATAACCTGTCAAGATCACAGTGACTTTGTGGCAGAGCCTCTCTTATTCCTCCACCTACTGCAGGGCTCCCTAGGTCTGACGCCTAGGATCTTACCATCGTCTGGTCCCTGCAGGATCAGGTACCTTGTAGTCTCAGGCCCACCATCCTCAGCACTGGTCACAGTGATGCAGCCTGGGCAGACACGTGGGGAGGGAATTCCCAGCTAATAAACTGTCACTGCTCACACTCATTCTGGCTCACCCATGTGACTGTAAACCAGCTGCGAACCCCTCTGAGCTTCATTTGGCTCCCTCACCATTACCCACCCAAAGCAGGGATATTGGGGGTCTGGTTTGTGTGCCATGCCCGTCCAGTAGCCAGCCCACAGTTATACAGATGCCATGGCTACCCAGTTGCCCTGCCTTTGACCACTAAACCTGGAGAGTCACCCTCCTTCCTCTCCAAACTTGCCCAAGGTTAAGGCCCAGCTCCTGCACCACTTTCTTAGGGTTGGCTTTCCAGACCATCCCATGGCTTTTCCACCTGCTATGGCCTTTACGTGTATCATCAATAGACAGTACAGTGTGGTAAATCATGGCCCAACACTTGCTGGTGACAGTGGGTAAATTATTTTACATCCTTGGTGCCTCGAATTTCTCTACACTGTGAGGATAACAGTACCTATTTTTGGGGGTTCCTAGAAGGATTAAAAAGCTACTAAATGTAAAGTGTTTAGAACAGACCCCCAGTACAAAGTTAGGTGTTACCGTTTCTGTACTGAGCACTTATCCCCTACCAAGCACTATGCTAAGAATTTTTCTATGCTGTATCATTAAATCTTTACACCATTCACCACTATGTGACAGAGGTTATTGTTCCCACGTTACACATTCAGAGTAGTAGGGCTTTTTGCCTGAGTTTGCGCTGCTGGGGTATGCACAGCTGGTTCTGCTGGGCTTCATAGGGAAACCCCAGTGGGCCAACTCTTGCCACCCTCTGTCCGACTCACTCTGGATGAGGTCAGGCCCAATGGTGGACTCAATGATCTTGTCGATGGCTGAACCCAGGTCCGAGGAAGAAGCTGTGCAGTCGGATACCAGCATGTTGGGGTCTGGGAGTGCGCTGGAGTGCACGAGGGCTGGGGGGCCCTCCGTCACCCCTGCCACTGGCCCATGGGATACAGAAGATGAATCGGGGAGGTAGCCATGGGGCAGGGGGTCTGTACTTGAGCTGCTCTCAGATACCTCCTCCTGGGGGGACAAGAAACAGGGAGAGAAGGAGTTTAGGAGTTGGGGATGGGGCAGGGGGTGCTGCCACCCACTAGACAGCGCTCCTCGGCTCAAGGACATGGTGAGTGGAACCGCCTACACCCTCAGCCTTATTGACGACCAGTGCAAGAAGCTCTCTAGTTGCAGAGCCCTCCAAGAACAAGTTTCAAAGTCCTTGGCTCTGGTCAAGTAAAGGGCCCAGCATCTCCCACATAACAGCCAAGAGGAGCTATTTTCATTGGGCTTTTGAATAAGCTGTTCCCTCTCCCTGAAATGCTTCCCAGCACTGCACCATGGCTAACTCCTACTCAGCTCTCTCACTGCCATTTAGCTGGTACCCCTTCTAGAAAGCTGACCCTAACTCCAAAGGCTAAGTTAGAACCTCTCCATCCTCTGTGCTGCAGTTGCCTGTGTCCCCCCATCATGGCACCATTAACTCTGCAAAGTTACATCTCCCAGGTCTGACTGTACCCTCCATAAGGTCTGGGACCACATGTGCCTTGTCCCCTGCTGTATCGCCAAGGTCCAACTCAAGCTGGGCACGTGGTAGGCCCACCTCTGCTGAATTAATGAAACTCCTGGACCCCAAAGTGATGTCTTGATAATAATAATGTGATGTCTTTAAAATGATCACTATCTTGCAGATGATAACAATGGTAATGGCTAATACTGAGTGTTTACTATGGTGTTGAGCACTGTTTTAATTGCTTTGCACATATTAATTCATTTAATCCTCACACAAACCCTATTGGAGGCAGGTATAATCATCACTCCCAATTTTCAGGTGGGAAATGGAGAGCTGGAAGTTGGGTAGCTTGCTCAAGATCACCAGGGAGATAGGGAAGTGGCAGAGACAGGAGGAAATGGTTTTACGAGGTGTTTCCAAGAAAACGTCTGGTGGAGCTCACAGTAGAGCACCCTCAGAAGCAGGTGTTTTCGCTCCATTTTACAGATGGTAAGACAAAGGCTCAAAGAGGTACCTGGTGAATCAGAGGCAGAGCCAAAACTCGAACCAGGACACCTACATCTATCTCAAAGAGTGAAGGCAGTGAATAAGAGCAGTGATAAGACCGTACGTAGCCTAGATTTGAATCTTGGCTCTGTCAGTGTTCAGTGCCTCGGTTTCCTTTTCTGAGTCGTATGTGCCTTACAAGGTACGAGGCTTAAACAAGAAACTCCATGTTAGGGGCTCGGCGTGGTGCCTGACACACAGTAAACCAAAAACGAACATTAGTTATAAGCCAGCCTTGCTGGCTGCTTCCCCTTGGCTGCCAGGCACTGCTGCCCGTGGTCCCTGCCTCCACCCACGCCGGCCTGCACGGCCCATACCAGAGAGCTGCTGCCGCGATCCGAGCTTTGCCCCACGCCGGAGTCATCGGCCTCTGTTGGCCCTGGGGCGGCCACGGCGTCGCTGCTGTCGGCGGACACGGCTTCCGAGGTGCCCATACCCAAGCCGCTCTCAGAGGGCTCCTCCGGCTGGTCAGGCCCAGGGGCCGCGTCGCTACTACTCTCCACCTCGTTCTCCTCCATCGACTCCGGGGGCCGCCCGACAGCGGGGCGCGGGGTCTGGGGCCTTCACTCTGAGAGAAGAGGTAACGAGGACTGGTACAGGTGAGCCACCTTACTGGCGCCGGCAACCATGACCCACCCAGCTGCACTCGTGTGCCCATTTCGCAGGCACAAAGACTGAGTCTCCGACAGGGCGAGGCTTTCTCGTGTGTACAGAAGGGAGTTCCGGGCAAATATGACCGAGAAGCCTTGCCTCCCAGTCTAGGGACCTTCCCTATCCCCGGGAGGGTGGTCAAAGGCCGGTATGACCCTTCTCTTCTCCGCTCCACGATTCCCGTAGCGTGGTTCGCTCTAAGGGCCCCGTCCGGGCTCAGTGGTTCAGCCCTTCGGACCCCCGAGTTCCCCCGGGTGCAGGGTCGGTGGTACAGCCCACGGGCCCCCCTTGGTCAGCAGCTTGCTCCCCCCTCCCCTAGTTCCCATGCGGAGGGGGCTGACAGCTACGGTCCCGGGGCCTGGCGACTCGGGGCTGTCCCCGGCGCTGCCTGCGCTCCAGGCCCGACGCCATCTTGTGGCAGCGCTGGGTTTCCGCTCAGGCAAGTGCGAGAGCGACTAAAGGGCCTGGGACCCCGGGGCCCTGTTTGGACAGCCCCGCCGGCTGGGACCTTGCCGCCGAGTATCCCCGCAGTGTGGACCCACTTCACGGTACGGTGCAGTGGGCCGACCTGAATCTACCTGACACTCACCTGACGCTTTTGTAGCCGCGTTCCTCTCCGACTCCGGCATCGACGAAGTCGCCATCTTCTTTACCACGCTGCGGAGGGACCCACCGGCCTAGCGTGGGCCGGAACTACTTCCTACGCCGACCTAGAGAAAGACAGGTTTTCAGGATGCCAGAAGGTGACCTGAAGCCTCAAAACCAGAATCGAGTCTAAAGAGAGTCTAAGATTTTATATATCTTGTAGTGTGGGTGGCGGAGTCCGCTACGGGTTCGGGACTACTTTCTTTCTTGGCGGAAGGTTACATAGGGAGTTATGGCACGTCAGTGCTGGGTGCCTACACTGGGCCGCAGGGTTGGGCGTGGCGAAGGCTGCCCCGCTGTTTGGGGCGTGGCTCGCAGTGGCCTGGCCACGCCCTTCCCGGAACAGCTCGGAAAAGCTTGCGGCCTGTAGGCGATTTGACAAGGAGGTAGAGAAATGTTATCGGTCATTCCTCCTGGCTCTTAACCGGTTACTTAATATTCTCACTGAACCTAATGGAATCGGTTCTGATTAGGCTTAATGTCGCTTGAGAGGTGAGGAGTATATAATCTTTGTAGCAGTGAGGAAACTGAGGCCTGGAGATGGGAGGTTGCTGGTCCAAGGTCACGTCAAGTAGAGGGACTTGGGAGGCAAGTCTGGATGTCTGGAATTGGGGAAATGGAGAGGAGGCCCAGCCCTTAGTGAGCTTTATATACATACAGTAGTGCCTCTGACCTGCAATTTTTGGCTTTCCTCAGTTTCAGTTACCCAAGGTTAACTGTGGTTTGAAAATATTAAGTGGAAAATTTCAGAAATAAACAATTCATAAGTTTTAAATTGCGGGCTGTTCTGAGTAGCATGGTGGACTCATGCTGTCCAGCTCCTTGCCACTCAGCTCTTTCCCACCCAGGATATGGATCATTCCCTTTGTCCTAAATAGCCTCCCTGTGTATATGATACCCACCTTTAGTCATTTAATAGCCCTTTCATTTTTCAGTTATCAGAGACCAGTGCTCATACCTCATTACAGTGTATTGTTATAATTGTTACTATTTATTATTGTTAATCTCTTATGGTGCCTAACTTATAAACTAAATTACCTTTATTATAGGTATATATGTATAGGAAAAGCATAATATGTATAGGGTTCGGTACTGTTTCAGGCATCCACTTGTGGGTCTTGGAATGTATCCCCCACAGCTAAGGGCAGGCCTACTATGTTTGTTACATTGATAGAGCCGTAGGTCAAGACATCCTCCACCGCCCTCTTCTGGTCAATGTAGATGTTGTAGATGTATTAAAAGGTCTGTAGCCCTTCAGAAAGGCCCCTCCTCCTGATACCCAAAATGCCACCTTTGGCCCCACCCTCTGTTTAAGCCTTTCTAGCATTTTGCAAGGGAGCCTGGTGCCCTGGTTTATCCTTAAGTCGTTGTGTTGCACAAGTTATTTTCCTTAATTGAAAAATATAAACTTGGCAGAGAGAGGATTTTCCTTAAGGAAAATCTATCTAAAAAGACAAAGGTGCTTTAAGCTGTTATAATTTGTATGCACATGAGTATGAGGGGGTTTCCCTGGTACTTTCTAGGAGCAGGTTTTGGTAGGGAGAATAGAGCATGAAGTCTCTGGATGGGCTAGCCCCTTCTCCCCCAGTCCAGCAGGACCGGGCCCCCAGAGCAGCCCAGGAGAGCTGGGTCAACAATGGTTTCTCACTTGACTGGTAGTTTTCTAAAGTGGACCTGATTTCTCATCCCTATAGAGGCCCCCTCCACCCCCCAATGCCAGTAGGATGCATCCTGCATCAAGCATGTCGCAGTACTCAGTATTAGTCCCACAGTACCCATTCCCATCCCCAGATCAACTAAGGCTCAACCCTAACCTTGGCCTTTGCCTCCAAATCACAAAATTGCAGAGTGTTATCATATAGGAGGTAACAACCTCATTGTGAAACAGAAGAGAAACCCAAGGCCCAGAGAGGAGCCCAAGGTCATGGCTCCCCAGAAAAAAAACATATCAGAATCTTTCCATTACAAAGACAAGCCAACCCTGGTTTTCTGACCACTAACCCAGGGTTCTTCGCATCAGAACCACAGTTTGTAGTTCTGGCCTCAGCTTTGATGGAGAGACTTCTAGAGGCAGTGAAGGTACTCTAGGTCAGAAGGACATTAAAGTATACCTTTGCCAAAAATGCTGAGCAGAGGAGCCAAGGCAAGAAGTGAGAAAGCACCATCAATGAGCATTTACCACATGCCAGGCAAGGCACATGTGTTTTACTGCATCATGGTATCTATCTTAAGGAAGCAGGGGTTGTTATCACCTTCCATGGTAGAGAGGAGGAAGCAAAGATTCAGAGAGGGGAAGTGACTTGTCCAAGGTCACACAGCAAGAGGGTAGAGCTGAGATATGAACTGCAGATGTGTTTGATTCCAAAGCGCCAAGCAATTTTGGTACCATGTGAAATATGCTTAGTAATTTTAACACTTAAAGAACTCTGGTCCAGTCACTGTTCTAAGCACTTTACCTACATTAATTTATTTACTACAAACACCCTACAAGGTAGTTGCCATTATCTCCATTTTACATATGAAGAAACAGGCACAGAACAGTAAAGGAATCTTATCTAAGTAAGGAGTGGAGCTGGGATTGAAAACTCAGCAATCTGGCTCCAGACTCAACTTTTAGATTATGGTACCATTGTTCATAATACCTGGTTCTTAGATGATACTTTATCCTTCCTGAGTCAGGCAGGTGGTTACTATTTTCCCATTTAACAGATGAAAAAATGAAGCTCAGAGAGAAAAGTGATTACCACCCTCTGCCCAACTCACACCAAGTTTCCTGGGCTAGTAGAGAGGATTGCGATTCCAGGCCAAATCGCCTGCAACAGATAATAATCATACTAATGAATATTTGTTGAGCAATTACCAAGTGCCACGTGCTGCATTAGGTTCTTCATATGCATTTCTAAACTGTAATCGTCACAACAACCAGAGATCATAGGTACTCTCAAGATTTCCATGTTACAGATGAGGAAACAGAGGCTCAAGAGAAATGAAATGACTTGTCCAACGTTATGCACTTGGTGATTGGCAGAGCTGGGATTCAAACCCTGGTTTTCTGACTCTCTGTCCAGTGCTCCTTCCACTGTACTATATGCCCCAGGACGGCAGCAGAGTTGAGAATAGGCGGTCAGCAGGTGGGTGCTCTCAAACTCATCTCTACCTTCTCTCTCCACGCCACTGCCATTTGTGAGCTAGCTAAACCTGTTCTTAAAAACCTATTTATAGCTTAAAACTGTACCACCACTTGGGATAATGAGTCCCTTAAGTTGACTCCCCATGGTGTAAATTAAGGCTTCTTTTTATTTGTCTTAAATCTTTCTTCTTCAGTATTGGAAAAGGTAAGGGGTGGTGGGGAAAGGCCCTAGGACCAGAACAGTTGGATTTAGAAAATAGTCTGTTGTCCAGATAATGTTTGCTTGTGATGGTGATTCCTGACACCTAGGCAGCAGATGACATTTATGCAAACATTTCATTTGATCATTACAGAGGCATAAGGAGTAGGCAGCACCTGGATTTTCATGTCTTTTCATCTTTCTTGTTCCCTATGATTTTTCCAACACTTAGTAAATTTTACGGTCACAAGGGAGCTACTAGATACCTATTTGTTGAATGAATGAATGAATGAATGAACCCTCGTTTTATAGACAAGGAGGCAGAGACACAATATCAGGGATCTAGCCAGAAAAACAAGACCCATGTCAGATGATTCTATAATAAGGAAATCTATAATATGAATAATTAGTTACAAAGTTGTTTGGTGGGCAGAAAGAGCGACCAGGGGAAGTTGAGACAAACCTAAGATTAGTAATTTAAGAAGCCACGACCTTCCCTGGGGCTGGAACTGTAAAAGGAGGAGATGGCATTACTGAGACCCAGAGAGAAGCTGGGGCCATGATGGGCCTTACCAGCAGGAGCTGCAATCACAGAGGAGACACTGTAGCTGCTGAAGCCACCCCCCTACCCAAGAAATGAGATATAATGAATGAAACCAATTTACCATAGGCTAATTGAGATAAACAAGAGTAAAGTTTCTATGACATTTCATCAATGTAACAACGAAATGATGTTGAATGAAATGACGTTATTCAAGGACCTGCTATATAGGAAATAGGAATCTTGTTTTAGTTGTTCAGCACTGTAGCCATATTACCAAGCACGATTACTGGCACATAGTAGGTGCTCAGTCAATCTCTGTTGGGCCATTGAACAAAGACTAAGTTATATATGGTGCTGTTATTCTGCCTATGAGCCTAGGGCGTGTCTGCCTTTCCCTCTGCCCCAGACATCACAGAGGGTGTGTGTTCTACACCACCCCAACCCTGGCTCAGAGACTTCTCGTAAAACTCAAGGGACCACCTTGGAAGGGAAGGTGGGGACTTCTGGGCCTGTGAGGAGGGAGCATGCACAGTAGGAAATGAGGGTCTGGAGCAAAGAACTAGCAAAGGGATCTAACATTTACTCAGCACCTACTGTGTACCAGAGTCTGTGTACATACTTTGTTGCATTTTATCCTCACAGGAGCCTGCAAAACACAGATCATTATTATCTCCATGTTAGTGATGGAATGGGACTTCAAGGAGGTGAGGACACTTATCCAGCTGGATTTGAACCCTGGACTGTCTGGCTTCAACCTCTTGCCCCTTCCATAGTATAGCTGCCTCCAGGAGGGCAGGGGCATGGAATCAGAGCCCCATGCCATACAAGAAGCTCCAAGAGCCAATGCTGAGGCTTGGCTTCAGCTGAGTGACAGCTTGAGAGCACGACGTTGACAGCTGTGCTGAGGCTGGTCCAGAAGCAAGTGATGCTAAACTCGGATGCTTGGGAACAGGAGCCATGATCATAAAGACAAGAGATGGCCAGGGGCTGCAGCAGGGTGCCGCGGAGGTGCTGGGCCCTGAACAGAATGTCCTTGGGCCCCGCCCCCAACAGAAAAAGCTTCCTACTAACTGGCTCTGTGACCTTGAGCAAGTCTCTCAACCATCTCAGTTCAGTGTCCTAACTTGTCATCCAGGGCCACTACACCTGCTGGGTTGTCATGGAATTACAGGAGATAATGCAAGGAGACAGAACTGGGACAAGTCCAAGCCAGGGCTCTAATATTAATTAGTTGTGTGATCTGAGGCAAGTTACTTCACCTCTTTGAGCCTTTGCGTCCTCAGCTGTGTAGTGGGTATGAGGACATGCCCTAAAAGATAGCCGTGAGGAGGTAGTAATTAAAAGTATGGGCTCTGGAGTACAATTGCCTGGGTTCGAATCACATTCTGTGACCAATGTGAGCCTTTGGGCAAATTGCTTGATCTCTGTGCCTCAGTTTCCTCCTCTGTAAAATAAAGGTGAATGTAAGCACACTCATGGAATTGTGATGAATAAATGGTATAATCAGCAGAAAGAGCACAGAACAGCACCTGCACAAGTAAGCTTTTCAGCACTGTGAGAAATCATTAGCACTGGGTCTGGCATCTAACAGTAACTAGTTGGGTTGCATGCCAGGCACCCCTTTAAACTCTAATCCTCAAAGCAGTCTTATGACATAGGTGACATTACTGTCCCATTTTATCCATGAGGAACTGGGTTATTCAGACATTGGTGACTTGCCTGAGGTCACACAGTGATCAGAGGATGGACCAGGATTTGAGCCCGGCGGAATCTCAACCACACACTCCTCCATCATTAATAAAGGCTCCATGAAAGGGAGCTGTTAGAAAGTCTATGTTATGTGAGAACGTTTTTTTGAAAGAGGAAGAGATGGCAATTATTTGCATCCAAGTGGAGTAGACCTTAAATGAGCTGCAAAAGACTGTGGAGAGGAGGGAGAAACTGCGGGAGGGTGGTAGGGGACTGATGGAGGGACCAGAATGCTCAGAATACGTTTGTCTCCAGAAGGGGGTGCCCACTGCCTCTGCCAGCTCTCTCAGTCCTGAACCAGGCCACTGGCTTGGTGGCCTGTGCAGAGGCCCATCTGAGCAGACCAGGGGGACACAAGGAAGGACAGCAGAAAGTGACAACACTGGTCTGTGCAAAGTCAGGGGCATT